CACCTGTGTCACCCACACGTCTGTATGTAGTTCTGCCCCACATACCTGTGGTCTCTTGGTCTCGCAGGGTGCAAGAGCACCCAGTGGGTGGAGAGTTAACTGAGAGTGGGGTAGACCCTCTGTCTGTTTAGCTATGAGCAAGTCTCTGTCCATATTGGGGGAGGTCTTTTGGGTGGTATGGCTGTTTAGGGGGTCACCCATGCTCCTCTAAGTAGCTCCACGGCACGTTTCCATAAATAAACCCGATAAAAGTCCTTAGTTCCCAGGCTAGACTTAGGTAGGATCACACTTAGTCTGTTGCTGGGGCCCTCTTTAGAGGTGCAGCTTGTTCATGTCTCCTCGGGTACAGCTCCCCAACACTGTATCACAGAGCGGGAAGGAGCGATCCCCAGCCTGCACAAGATCTCCCGAGAACATCTGCTTCAATGGGAAGGGATAACTGTTGGTTCATGTCACAGAGGCTTTGATGGCTGGCTCTGTGTGTCTGAGCATCATGGTGGGAGCAGGAAAGAGTGAAGATCTACCCACGAGGGGCCCAGAAGACAAGAGTGAGCTTGCTCTCATGACAAGCCCCTTCCCCAAGCCCAGTCAGCTACTATGAATCCACCAAAGGATGAACCCAAAGAGGGTAGTCAGGTCCTCGCACCTCTGAATCCCTCTGCCTGAAGCCATGTCTGAACCTCAAAGAGTTCTGAAGAACACTGTAAGTCCAGAGTATGGAAGCCACGGACAGTGGGCATGCAGGGGCCGACCACTCCCACAGGCTCTGTTATTATTCATACGTACGTGTGTGCACCTGTGTGAGTATACGCCACACGCATGCAGTGCTCTTGGGGGCCAGAAAAGGGTCGGGTCCCCTGCAACTGAACTTCCAGGTGGTTGTGTACTGCTGTGCGGGTGCTGGGAACCAAACCTGAGCCTCTGCTAGAACAGCGAGTGCTCTTAACTGCTGAGCCATCTCTCCGGCCCCCTGGTTGCTTGACACGCTCTTCATAGCCATGCCCCGGGGCTGCCATGACTATATTCTGTACTATCAGAAGACCCCCACCACCACCCAGTTCTATTTCCCCCGAGGGGAGAACCACCATGCAGAGAGCCCTTCCATGGCCTGACTTGAGACAGGAGACACCAGCCCTTACTCTCAGAGGGGAGGAGGTGCTCTCTCCGAGCCTTCCTCTCCTGTTACCTCTTCCAGACCCTTCTTGCTTAGAACTGGCCTTTGAGTTCCTCTACAGGCGTTACCAGCTGTGGCCAGCAGAGGGCGCCTAGCCCTAAGGCTCCTTTAGAAGGTGGCTGGCTGGCCAGGTGCAAGCCGGAGAGAGCCTTCATTCCAGACAGCCTGCACCAAGCATCAGAAAAAACAAGCAGCTCTTCCTGGTCCTCAGGCCTGTGGACAGCCTTCCCGCTGACCATGCACTGGCAGAATTGAGGTGTGTGTTCCATCTGTCACTCTTTCCCATTACTTTGGTTACGTGTTAAACCTCCCTACCCAGGTCCTCACCGTGGGCCCCGTTTCGCAAAAAATTAAAATTAGGTAATGAACTGAACATGACAGCATACACTCATAATCCCAGCACTTGGGAGGCTGAGGCAGGAGGAATGTGAACTTGAGGCCAGCCTGGGCTATATAGTGAGGACTCCCTCCCCCCAATACACACACACCTTTTTGTTTTTCAAAAAAAATGTTTCCCCTCATTTTAGACCCACAGAGCCCTTGCTATTTCCTTAGGCCTGGGACTCAAGAAAGACAAAGGAACATGAACTGAGTATGGAAACATGGAGCTTGCGGGAGCCCACAGGAGTGGGGAGGTCCTGTGCACTGAGGATGAACGGTCAAATGACCCTTACACAGGGATGGCCTAAGGCCGTCGGAAAACATAGCTATTTACATTGCGATTCATAACAGTAGCAAAATTACAGTTATGAATAGCAATGAAAATAATCTTACTGTTTGGAGTCAGCACCACATTAGGAACTGTATTAGAAGGTCGCAGCATCAGGAAGGTTGAGGACCACTGGGCTAGAATGTCAAATCTTACTTCCCAGCACTGTCTTTGTAACTGGGTTAAGCCCTAATAAGAGGGGCCAGAATCTGCCTGGCAACAAGAAGGGAGTGCAGGTTAGGGAAGGTCTGATTGGACAGAATCCCAGGAGCAGGAGACGGCCTGAGTTCTTGACCTGGGCTGTCTCAGACACAGGAAGGGGGCGTGCCATCCAACACTGGCCCTGTTGCTTGGAGGTTGAATCTGCTGCCTGCTCAATCTTTACAATAAGAAAACTCGTCTTGCTTCCGTGCTTGGCAGTGAGTAAAAACACAAATCCTTAAAGTGTTGGAAAACAGCCTTCAATTGGAATCCGGGCTCTTCCTCCATCTGTGGCAGTTTGCACAGGTTTTTTTAGAGTGTCAGAACGCCTCGCCTCGGCACCAGCCTGCTGCAGACACCATCCACTGGGGAGAAGCCTCCCCCAGGGCTCTGAGGGATCCTATTTCAGACACCATAACCCAGCTGCGCTCCAACCCAACACTGCAGAATGCCAGGATGCTCCCCCTAGCTCTGTGTGAGGGAGTCTCAGATTTGTCGGGGCTACAGATCAGCAAAATGACCCCCACACCAGCCAGTTTAGGGAGATTGGTTTATGATTTTGTTAAAGAAAGCTATCTGAGAAGTAAAACAGATGACCCCAGGACATAGTGAGTGGTACAGGCCTGTAAGCTCAACTCTTGCGAGGCTGAGGCAGGAGGATCACAAATTCAAGGTCGTTCTGGACTACAGTGTGGGTTCAAGGCAAGGTCAGCCAGGGCAATTTAGTGACAGCCTGTCTCAAAATAAAAAGTTAAAAAAGGGCTGGGGCTGCCAGGAGGTGGTGGCACATGCCTTTGATCCCAGCACTTGGGAGGTAGAGGAAATAGAATCTCTGTGAGTTCAAGGCCAGCCTGGTCTCCAGAGCAAACTCCAGGACAAGCTCCAAAGATATGCAGAGACACCCTGTCTCAAAATAAAATAAAATAGCTGGGACTCCTCAATGGTAGAGCATTTGCCTCGCATGTAGAAAGCCCTGGGTTCAAGTCCCTGTCCTGAAGAGAAAAAAATTTTTCAATTTTTATTTTTAAAATATTTCTTTTATTTTTTAAATTATGTCTAGGCATTGGGCCTATGTGTGAGTATGTGTACTTGCCTGAGGAGGCCAGATGTGTAAGATCCCTTTGGAGCTAGAGGTACAGGAAGCTATGAGCTGCCAGACATGAGTGCTGAGAGCTGAACTCGGGTCCTCAGAGAGAGCGAGGCACTCTCCTAACTTCTCAGCCTTCTGGCCAGCCCTACTTCATCTCATCTTCATTGTTCTCATATGGATTTTAAAAATAACCCTGGAGAACCTGCACTGTGCCCCCTGGGGCCCTGGGTTCAGCACCCTGGGGGTGCACGACTGGACCTTCTAGAACATTCTGAGTTAGCCTGTCCCCACCGTCTACCCCCTCGAGAGCACAGGGACTGACAGCTGCAACCTTGGGAAATCTGTGCCACTCCAGAGCTTTTCAAGTGACAACGAATCAAGCAAGGAAAAAATAGCAATATTTTATAAGTTTTAAAATGCTATTTTAACACAAATCCCAGAGCAACTATAGCATAAATCAACAGACACCCAAAAGTATGTTTGTACAAGAAATGTAATAAGCTGGTATGAAAAACAGTGTCAACTGGTGCAGATGGCAGAAAAAGCCAATATTCAAATGTATGCTGTTTTACTAACACATTAAAGATCAACATTTTGCTACCTGCTGCTCATGATAGCAAGATTAAAAAAACACACAACACACACATATACTCCCGCGTGATGTTATAACCCAGAGAATGAAGATTCTTAAAGAAATTGTCACGTTCTTTCTATACTTCATCTGTTGGCTTTAAGGCTTTTTCCATTGAGAGAGACATTTGCATCCGAAAATGTAGCCCCTCTCCTATATGCCTGATGTTTGAGAACATTAAGAAGAAGGTGGGAAGCTATCGGAGCTGTGGTCCTTAACGGTCTCTTTCTAGACTGAGATTGGGAGTAGAATCTCCCCAGGCACACTCATAAGGCCACCCTCTCTGTGAATGGCACATGGCTGACTTCAGGGTACTAACTCAAGCACTGTAGTCCTTAGGACCCCAGAGAGCCCTGGGAGGTAGCAAGCCAGGAAGCCTTCAGTCCATCCAGTATCCAGCACACAGTGGCCAAGGCCTGCAGGTCTACAGGAAGCACATGAGGCACTATGGACCATATAACAACTATCAAGGAAGTCACCCAGGATTGCCAGTTCCGTCTTTGGTTGATTAACAAGCCTGGGAATTGGACAGCCTTTGGGCATTCAGTTCCTCCTTCACAGTGCTGGAGGCGTCCCAATGCCTGTCCTGAAACTACAGTACAGAGCCATGGTGACCAAGACTAGAAAACATGCTTCTTCATAGCTAGTTTCTATTGCTAAGAAGAGACACCGTGACCGTGGCAACTCGTTTTTTTTTTTAATATTTATTTATTTATTATGTATACAATATTCTGTCTATGTGTATGCCTGTAGGCCAGAAGAGGGCACCAGACCTCATTACAGATGGTTGTGAGCTACCATGTGGTTGCCAGGAATTGAACTCAAGACTCTCGAAGAAGAGGCAATGCTCTTAACCACTGAGCCATCTCTCCAGCCCCCGTAGCAACTCTTATAAAGAAAAACGTTCCATGGGGTGGCCTCCTTGTAGTTCACGGGTTCAGTCCGTTATCATGGTGGGACACATGGTGGCATGAAGGCCGACATGGTGCTGGAGAAAGAGTTGTGAGGCCTACTCCTTGACGTACAAGCAACCGGAAGTGGTCTGAGACTCTGTGTGGTATCTTGAGCATGTTTGAGACCTCAAAGCCCACTTCCACAGAGACAAACCTCCCCCAACAAAAGCACACCTACTCCAACAAGGCCACACCTCCTAAGAGTGCCACTCCCTTTGGGGGCCATTTTCTTTCAAACCACCACATATGCCCATAGACCAGTGGAATAGAATAAAATACCTAGAAATGAAACCACATGGCTACGGCCACCGGGTTTTTGACAAAAGAACTAATAATCCACTGGGAGAAAACAGCCTCTTCTGCAGGGTTCTGGAGAAACTGGGTAGTTACAAGGAGCAAAATGAAACCAGATCTCTCTCTCTCTCTCTCCTTCTTCCTTCTCTCCCTCTTCCTCTCTCCCTCTCTCTTCACAAAGACCTCAGTGTAAGACCCAAAACCTTGAAACTGCTGGAGCAAAATACAGAGGAAGCATCCTGTAGGCAGGAAAAGGGCTCCTGAAAAGAGCTCCAGAGGTCGGAAAATAATAGCAAGAACTGACCAATGGGATCCTATGAAATTTAAAAGGTTCTGTCCTACAAAGCAAACAACAGCAGAGCAAAGGGACAGCCTACAGAATGGGAAAAGTCTTCGCTAGATGTAAATATGAAAAGGAGGTTATTATCTGGGATCTATGAAGAACTTAAAATACTAAGTACTTAGGACTGATATCCAAAGTGTGTAAAGAACTCAGAAGACTAGGTATCAAGCAAATAAATTACAAGCTCAGTCATCAAAGACCTTTCTCACTGGGAGACTATGATGGCGGCTTGATGGGATTTAGAGTCTCAAGAGGGGGCTGCCTCCGGGCGTGGCGGTGGAGGATTACCTGGATTCAGTTGAGGTGACAATACCTTCCTAAAATGAGTGCGGTACCATTTCACGGCTGGGGTCCTGGGCCGCACAGAAGGAAGTGTAGGCTTAGCAAAGCGTTCCGGTTCTGTTTCCTCACGGCAGACACTGTAACCAGACCCCTCCAGCTCCTCCACCCTCGTCAGCAGGCACGCACTCTTCCCTGAAACTGAGAGCTAGGATACAACCCCCTCCCTGAAGATGCTTTTGGTTGGTGTTTTATTGCAACAATTGTGGGGACCCACAGATGTGAGCCTGTTCCACCTTGAATGGATGTCACAGAGTTTGAAATTATTTTTGTTCTCTCAGTTGTTGACAACAGGTGTGGCTACAGATGACAGCTTCTGACCTAGGGTGTGGTTAATTAGTATTTTGGATATAGAGGTGAATCCACTTCACCTGGGCCAAAGGTCAGAGAATTCAAGTCTATTTCTTGCATCATGTTAATGAAGTCTGTTGCATTCCTCCCCTCCCCTTTCGGAGTGAGGTATATAAGCCTGTGGAAAATAAACAAGGAAGGATTCAGTATTCAAAAAACAAAATACTAAGTACTTGAACACAAATAAACCAATGTATAAATGGGAAAATGAATTTAACAGACAGTTCTTTCTTTTTTCTTTTCTTTTTTGAGACAAGGTTTCTCTGTGTAGTCCTGGCTGTCCTGGAACTCAGTCTGTAGACCAGGCTGGCCTCAAACTCTCAGAGATCTGCCTGCCTCTGCCTCCCAAGGTTAAAGGTGTTCGCCATCATGCCCTGCTTTATCAGACAGCAGTTTAAGAGTGTTCAGCATCCTTAGCTGCTAGGGAAACACATGTTTAAACTGCTTTGAGAGTTCAGTTGACTTTAGTCTGAGTGGAGATCTTCTAGAAAGCAGACGATGGGCTGGAGAGATGGCTCAGAGGCTGAGAGCAATTGCTGTTCTTCTAAGGGCTCACCATCACCTGCAATTCCAGCTCCGGGGGATCCAAAACCCTCTTCTGGCCTTACTTAATACTTAATAGGAAGTCCAGCTAGACTATAAGTTGACCTTCATGCCTTGACGGCTATGCTGAGTGATACCATCCCGAAAATTAAAAAATACCAACTGCCCGAGACCACAGTTATGTTAGGCATGGGCTGATTAGACCCGTACCATCGAGATGTCTTATTTAAGGGGAACGTATGGACGATAAAACATTGAATGGCCCTGAAGTAAGAACCAGATGTCTGATAAAGTTTCACATTAGCTACCCCCAAGTTAAAATGGGCCCGGAGCGAGAAGAGGGGCATAGGTGGGCGGGTTGTTGGTTTCACGGAGGATGGTAGATTAATAGACCAAATGGGGACAGGGATAGTCGTATGGACAAGAAAGGTTTATGACTTAATGGTGTATGCAAGATAACGCAGATATGTCTATCAAGCATTAATATTTAGTTGATTATAATAGTCATGGTGAATAGAGTTTTATGTTGATAAATAATTGAATGTCCTATATAATTGATATATAATACATGCTTATATGCTTGGGGAATATAATTTAATGTACGATATACATAAATGTATTATGTACTAGATAAATTTATGTACAAGAAGTAGTTTAAATAGAATGTCAGCTTTGGGTGCTGATGGTGGGGGAAGAGTCCTTCCTTCTTGATGCCCTGAGAAAAGTAGTTTCTGGCCTCCATGGTCACCCACACATGTGTGCATGAGCACGCACGCACGCGCGCACACACACACATACACACACACACACAAATCTTTTAAAAAAGAGAAGAAATGTCAACAAAGGCTGGTGAGGATATGGGGAAAGGAGAGCCCTCGTCCACTACTGGTGGGAGGGTAGACTGGTACAGCCACTATGGAAATCAGTATGGAAGCTTCTCCAAAAGCTAAAACTAGAACAGCACAAGGAGTCTAAGTCAATACACACAACCAATCGCTGCTCTATTCACAATAGCCAGGAAATGGAACCACCCTAGATGTCCATCAGCTGATGAATGCATAAAGAAAACGTGTTGCATACACAAAATGGGATTTTACTCAGCCATAAAGAGACTGAAGAGACAACTCAGTGGTTAAGAGCCCTGGCTGCCCTTCCAGGGACCCCAGGTTTGACTTTCAATATCCACAGGGCAGCTCACAGATGCCAGTATGGGGGTTGGGTAGGGGGCTGGTTTCTGGCTTCTGTGGACATTTTATGCATGTGGTGCATGTATACACATGAAGGCAAAACACTCATATACATAAAGGAAAATAAATAAAAGAGACTGAAATGTCATTTGCAGAAGGCTAGATGGATAGAGGGGTCACCATGTTAAGGGAAATAAGTCAGACAGACCCTGGGAGACAGATGTTGGGGGTTTTCTCTCATTTGCAGGATCTAAACATAAATGTTGAGGGTGACCTTGTGGGGGAGAGAGGAGCAGCAGGAGGGTGAGAAGGAAATGACATATCCGAACCCCAGAATCTGTGTGCTAAAAGACTTTTGCAGCTATCATGAAGAGAGGAATCTCAGGATGAGTCAGGTAGGTTCAAAATCCATAGACAAGCATGTGCTTCCAAAGCAGAAATCTGTGTGTCGAGGCATAGTGTACTTTCCTGTGATCTCAGAACTCAAGAGGTTGAGGCAGGAGGATAGTTTGTTTGAGACTTAGTCTAGGCTACATAGCAAAACCCCACCTTAAAAAAAGACAATAAAGTCGGGTTGGAGAGATGACTCAGAGGTTAAGAACACTGGCTGCTCTACCAGAGGTCCAGAGTCCAATTCCCAGCAACCACATGGTGGCTCACAACCGTCTATCATGAGACCTGGGGCCCTCTTCTGGAATGCATGCATTGTATACATAATAAATAAATCTTTAAAAAATAATAATAAAGTAAAAGTAAGATGCTGGTAATATGATGATGACGCAGCCACAAGCCTAGGCCTAGATCTGCCAACAGGAATAGGGGCAGGAAGGCTGCTTCCTCGCTGCTTCTGTCTCTCTCAACTCTGAACCTCAGTCTCCACAGCTATGAGCACATCCTGCTGTCCTAGGCCCCCACAGTGGTGTAGTACCTCAGACTCAGAGCATGGGACTTTACCCTGCCTGCTTCGGCTTTCAGAGCACCTGCTCTCCCTCCCCCGCTCAGACTCTCCTGGGACTCCCGGCCTTTGAGGTTCCCTAAGACCTCTGCTCCTGGAAGCACAGATGCTCCCTATGCTCTAGGCCTTGCTGACCTGGTCACAGTGTCCCCCAGGGCACTAGGCTCCACCTGTCAGTCCTGACCCATCCTCCCCACCTCCCTTCCTACAGCACAGGCTGCCTATCCTGGAGGGCCTGCCCTCAGCTATCTGTCTCTGGCAGTTAGCAACTGCTGCCTCTGCCTTCACAGGGGAAGTCACACAGTGTCAGGCTTTAGGAGTGGTCTGCTTAAATGCTTTAAATGCGCATCTCCTATGCCCTGCAAGTTCCATTCTAAACTCCGGAAAGATTTTTTTTTTAAGATTTATTTATTTATTATATAGACAGTGTTCTGCCTGCATGTATACTTACAGGCCAGAAGAGGGCACCAGATCTCATCAAAGATGCTTGTGAGCCACCATGGGGTTCCTGGGAATTGAACTCAGGACCTTTGGAAGAGCAGGCAGTGCTGAATATAGTGGTACCTAACTATAGTCCCAGCAGCACTAAGAGGCTGAGGGAGGAGAATCAAGAGTTCAAGGTTGTGTAGCTGCTGTCCTAATAGATCCAAGGCCAGCCTGGGCTGCCTTAGATCCTATCTCAAAATAAATAAATAAATAAAAATAAAAAGCAGGAACTGGGAATTAGCTCAGTTGAAAGAGTAAGCTTAGCCAGCTGAGGCCCGCTGTTCGGGAGTTCAAGGACAGCCAGAACTGGGTGGTGGAGTGTTTGCCTAGAAGTTCACAGCCCTAACATTACAAAGAAAAGTGACTGGGTTTGGTGGCACAAGCCTTTCCCTCCCGCTAAAGCAATCTTTTTATTAATTGAGAATGTCATACAGTGCAATTTGGACGTATTTACTCCAACTCCTCCCATAACCACCCTCTCTACCTTTCCACTGAGTCCGACCCAACTTTGAGCTTTATTCTTCTTTGTGTCCGCTTCAAGTCCAGTATGTCGTGCCCACATCCAGTCTCAGCACCTAGGAGGCAGATGCAGGTAGTCAAAGTTATGGTTTAACTCTTAATTACAAAATGCTTCTAATCTGTAAAGCCCTTTGCTCAAGGAGAGATACTTCCTGAAATAATGCTGGAAGCTATTGTTTACCAGAGATAACAAGCCACATATTTGGTTTGGGGGGTTTTGTTTTGCTTTGCTTTGTTATTTGTTTATTTATTGAGACAGGATTTCTCTGGGTAAACAGTTCTGGCTGTCCTGAAATTCACTTTGTAGATTTTTTAGACCAGGCTGGCCTCAAACTCACTGAGATCCACCTGCCTCTGCCTCCCTAGTGCTGGGATTAAAGGCGGGTGCCACCACCGCCTGACTTGAGACCTGTCTTAAACGAAACCCAACCAACCTCACCTCCCTGGACTTGTAGAGGGGTGGATGGGCTGAAGGACAATGTGTGCTGGGTGGTGGTGGCAGTGTTGGCGCTCGCCCTTAATCCCAGCGTTTGGGAGGCAGAGGCAGTCAGATCTGAGTTGAAGGCCAGTCTGGTCTACAGAGTGAGTTCTGAAATGGCCAGAGCTACACTGGAAAGCACTGTCTCAAAAAGCAAAACAAATAAACCGATAAAACAAAGCAAAGTCAAAGAATAACATGCAGGTGATACTAGCACATCTTTGTGTGTTTGCTTTTGTATTTTAGCCAAAGCATTCCACGGAGTAACTGACCCTCCGGGCAGAGGGTCACAGGGGGAAGTGGCTCTACCCTGCAGGAACACGTGTCAATGTCTGCAGACATTTTGGTTGCCCAATTAGAAAAGGTTGGTAGTGGGTGCCAAGTCAACAGATCACTATCCTATGATACACAGACAGACAACACCAAACTGGCTAGCCCCAAATGCTAGCAGTGCTGGGTCCAGAGTGCTAAACCTTAGTTTAAGATGATGCCTAGAAAGCTGGGCGGTGGTGCATGCCTATAATCCCGGCACTGCTAGCAGGAGGCAGAGGCAGGCGGATCTCCGTGAGTTCAAGGCAGCCTGGTCTAAAGGAGCTAGTTCCAGGACAGTCAGGGCTGTTATATAGAGAAGCCCTGTCTCAAGAAACAAAAAAACAAAACAAAACAACAACAACAACAAAAACCAGATTGATGCCTAGAAGCTGAGAGCCGTGAGTTGATTCCAGGAGGCACTAACACAAACCGCCTCTCCATTGTTACATTTATTTCCTGAAAAAAAATACACGTATGTGTCATGTATGTGCCATAAGGCAGGTAGGATCACCAAAGCCTGGAAAAAGGAAGAATCAGAGTGGACTCTAGGGACTTTGTGCTAGGCCTGGTAGGAGGGTCAACTTGCAAAAGTTAACTGAGATCAGTCCTATGGACCACTGACGACATTCCCTCCTATAAGGAGGGAGCTGGGAGGGTCGTGAGGTCCTCACTTTGGTACCAGCCACTCCTCTCAGACATTAGTCTACCGTTTTACTCTAATTGCACAGAGCCTTGGGGCCTGAGGAGGGCCTTAGAGCATCTGGGCTAGGGAGGACTAGGGCAAGAGGCTCCATCTAAGAGGCATGATGGATGCCGACCTTTCAGTGTGACTGCTTTAGGGTACCCACACTCCTGCCCATAACCCCTCATGCACACTGTGTAAGGAAGGCTAATAAACTCAGCAGTTCCCTGGGGAGAACTTGGACAGAATCATACTTTGATTTGTCACTGGGACCTTAGAAGGAGGGGGCAGGCACTTCTTTGTGTGTCCCCTCCACCTGCCCCCCCCAGGAAAAAAATTCTTGAGACACAAGACTAACGTAGCAAGGCTTATGTTAGTCACCACTGTTCCCCCCACAAATGAGTCAGGCACCCAGGTCTCACCTCCCAGAGGAACACAACTTTAGCACCAGGGTTGGTATTTTCACAAACACCCCACATCAAGGTTCAAATGAGAAGATTCAGGGGAGTTGCAGTGTTTTCTGAAGCTCCCCACCTATGCCTGTGCTAAGCCACCTGGAGTGAATGAAGACTCAGTCAGGCCTAGCCCAGCAGAGTGCTGAGGCTTTATTTCCTAGAGTGAACCTCTTGTGGGGGATATTTAGATGATAGACGGACCAACAGGGAAATCAACCCTCAGATGGTAGATAATTAATACAGAACATCGGCTAAGAAATAGGTAATCAAAATAGGTATCAGTGGAAGATGCATAGATAGAGACATGCTAAATGAATTGGTAGATGATAGATAGATTGATGAGGTATCAGAAGTAGAGATCCACATATGTGGCCTGTGGTGTCTTTCCAGCTGCTGGCCACACAGACTTTCAGCACATGTGATTCAGTCACTGTTTTAAACCCACAAGTCTGCAAGTGGACACCGAACTTATCAGGGCAGTAACATGTGAGACCTCTCCCACCCTGTGAGGAAGCAGCCTAGGACAACAAAAGCCAGAGACATGAGGATTTGACTGAAATTCCCTGGTAAGAGTCTGAACCAACCACCTGGCTCGCAGCTGCCTCCTTCATTTTAAGGTAAACAGCTCAGAGCTCAGGTCTTTTTTTTTTCTTGACTGCTTGATAGTAAGCTATTTATTTTTTTATTGATATTTATTGATCTCTACATTTTTCTCTGCTCCCTTCCTTGCCTCTTCCTTCCCCCTTCAATCCTTCCTCAAGGTCCCCATGCTCCCAATTTACTCAGGAGATCTTGTCTTTTTCTACTTTCTACTTCCCATGTAGATTAGATCTATGTAAGTCTCTCTTAGTGTCCACATTGTTGTCTAAGTTCTCTGGGATTGTGGTTTGTAGCCTGACTTTCTTTGCTTTATGTTTAAAAACCACCTATGAGTTCATGTGATAATTGTCTTTCTGGGTCTGGGTTACCTCACTCAAAATAATGTTTTCTAGCTCCATTCATTTTCCTGCAAAATTCAAGCTGTCATTATTATTTTTTTTTTGCTGTGTACTACTCAATTGTGTAAATGTACCACATTTTTCTTATCTATTCTTCAATCGAGGGACATTTAGGTTTCTTATCTATTCTTCAATCGAGGGGCATCCAGGTTCTGGCTATGACAAACAGAACCACTATGAACATAGTTGAGCACATGTCCTTGTGGCACGATTGAGCGTCCTTTGGATACATACCCAAAAGTGATGTTACTGGGTCTTGAGAAAGGTTGTTTCTTAATTTTCTGAGAAATCACCACACTGACAACCAAAGGGGTTGTACCAGCTTGCATTCCCACCAGCAATGCAGAAGTGTTCCCTTTTCCCCACAACCTCTCCAGCATAAGTTGTCATCAGTGTTTTTGATCTTGGTCATTCTTGCAGGTATAAGATGGAATCTCAGAGTTGTTTTGATTTGCATTTCTCTGATGACTAAGGACATTGAACACTTCCTTAAGTGTCTTTCAGCCATTTTAGATTCCTCTGTTGAGAGTTCTCTGTTTAGGTCTGTACTCCATTTTTTAATTGGATTATGTGATCTTTTGGTGTCCAATTTCTTGAGTTCTTTGTATATTGTGGAGATCAGACCTCTGTCTGATGTGGGGTTAGTGGAGATCTTTTTCCATTCTGTAGGCTGTCATTTTGTCTTGTTGACCATGTCCTTTGCTTTACAGAAGCTTTTCAGTTTCAGGAGGTCCCATTTATTAATTGTTTCTCTCAGTGTCTGTGCTACTGGGGTTATATTTAGGAAGTGGTCTCCTGTGCCAATGCGTTCAAGTGTACTTCCCACTTTCTCTTCTATGAAGTTCATTGTGGCTGGCTTTATGTTGAGGTCTTTGATCCATTTGGACTTGAGTTTTGTGTGTAGTGATAGATATGGATCTATTTTCATTCTTCTACATGTTGATATCCAGTTATGCCAGCACCATTTGTTAAATATGCTTTCTTTTTTCCATTTGATATTTTTTGCTTCTTTATCAAAAATCAGGTGTTTGAAGATGTGTGGATTAATATCTGGGTCTTCGATTCAATTCCATTGGTCCTCCTGTCTGTTTTTATGCCAATTCCAGGCTGTTTTCAGTACTGTAGCTCTGTGGTAGAGTTTGGAGTCAGGGATTGTGATGCCTCCAGAAGTTCTTTGATTGCACAGGGTTGTTTTGGCTATCCTGGGTTGTTTTTTTTTTTTTTTTGGTTTTTTTTTTTTTTTTCTTTTCCAAATGAAGTTCAATACTGTTCTTTTGAGGTCTTTGAAGAATTTTGCTGGGATTTTTCTGGGCATTGCATTGAATCTGTAGATTGCTTTTGGTAAGATTGCCATTTTTACTATATTAATTCTGCCTACCCAAGAGTGTGGGAGGTCTTTCCATTTTCTGGTGTCTTCTTCAATTTCTTTCTTCAAAGATTTAAAGTGCTTGTCATACAAGTTCTTCCACTTGTTTGGTTAGAGTTACTCCGAGATATTTTATACTATTTGTCAGCTCAGGTCTTAAACACAGTTTCCGGGAAGAAATGGATTCTGGCTTTCCACTAGAGTCCCAAGCCTGGGTGAGACCTTAGTACTCCTACTTGCAAATACTGTCCTACTACATCACTTCTCTGTCATTTATTCATCCATCCCCCATCTCTTCATCCATTCATCAACATATTGATCAATCCACCCACTCATCTCTCCATTCATTAATCCATCAGTCCCTCCATCCACTCACCTGTTCACAAATATATCTGTCAACAATCCACCCATTAACATATCTGTTCATCCATCCTTCCCTTCATCCACACATTCATCAGAGGCATCTGTCATCCAGTCACACATACATACATACATTAGTGCATGCATGTATCCCTCTAAGTATGTGCTGATCTCTCCATTCATCCAGCCATCTGTGTCTTCATCCATCCATCCACCCACCTACCCACACATCCATCCATCACTTACTCATCCATCTGTCATTCATCTATTCATTCACTAACAGTCATCAATTCATCCGGTTCTCCATGCATTCAATGACACATCTCTCCATTCAATCCCCATTTATGGGGTCACAAAAGCATCAATCCCACTGCTTTCTCACCCAGAGGTGTCCGCCATAAGGATCCACTTGGCCCCACCCCTATGCCACCCCACACTTGGGCTCCTGTGACAGGACATGGAGCCACGGCTCTGAACACAAAATGGTCACGACACAAAGTCAGACAGAACCCGCCTCAGGCTCCTCGTCAGTCAGGGAAAAGGATTGTGACACCACCCAATGACTTGGGTGTCCCCAAATTCCTGCTCTCAAATCTTTCCTGGTTCTGTTTGGTTGGTTGGTTTTGTTTATTTGGGCAAAGGTGGAACCGGTTCTTGACATGTAGCTCAAGCTGGCCTGGAGCTCCTTATTTGGTTGTATTATTTTATATGTATAAGTGTTTGCCTATATGTATATCTGAATACCACATGTACGCGTGGTACCTAAGGAGGTCCGAAAAGGGAACCGGATGCACTGTAAGTTGAGTTACAGATAGTTGTGAGTTACCAGGTGAGTATTGGGAACTGAACCCAGGTCCTCTGCAATGCAGTCAGTGCTTTTAACTGCTCAGCCATCTCTCCAACCCCTGGCCCAGAACCCTCGACTCCCCTACCTCAGTGTCCCAAGTACTGGGACCACAGGTGTTCACACATTACCCTGACTGAGCTCTTAGTAAAACACTGGGCCCTTCTCTACCCAGCAGAAGTTTCCCGGTTTCCCAGGCTAGAGACTTAAATTTCTTCCCTTTGTGCTCAAACTGGGGCCGGGCTGCCCCTAACTGGCACAAGTTTATTGTACAACAGTGTTTTGAAAGAATCTGAAACGGTTTCTAACAACTAAAACTGGTAGAAGCGGCATTAAAACAAAAGAGTCTCTGCTTCTCTGGGAAACTTAGGTTGATGCTGGGCCTGTTGGAGTCCATGTGACACCACTAGAGAGAGGAGCCCCTGCTTTCCGTGCCACCACTGTCCCAGCCCCTGCCACACAGAGGGACAGTGGTGGGTCACCTGCAGGTTCTGTGTCTCAGCTGCTGGGTGTTTCGGGGCATCTGAAAAAGTAAGAGCAAGAGCCGGAGAGACGGCTCAGGGGGCAGAGCGCCCGACCGCACCACCCGATTCCCGGCCAGGCACCGCATGTATTTCCGTGACCATCAGTCAGCGCCGCCCGGCGGCCTGCAGAACGACCCGCACACCACCTCCCACCGTCCACCGTAGATCCGCGGAGAGTAGTAGACAAAAATAAAAAAATAATAATAATAAAAAGAAAGTGAGAGCAGGAAAAAGAAGGACGATTTTCTTTTCTTGAGCCTGCAGAATATGGGACATGAGGGTATCCCAACCCCATTATCTGTGGACATGTCCCAGGGAGCCTGAAAGAAGTTCAGGGCAGAGCAGGGGAGACCCCCAGAGCCATGCAGAGGAGGAAGGATCAAATAGGATAGATCGACTCCATAGGTGCTGATGCATTGCACCAGGCACTGGAGGGGACCCCCAAATTTATGACTTTGTGTAGAAAGCATGCAATGCCTTGCATGGTCACAAGGGGGCCCAAAGCTCAAGACACAGACTTCTCTTGGCCCGTGGATGGCATCTAGATAGATTCACATTGCATGAAAGGAAAGGACGGGAAATAATATGTCTACGTCAGGGTTAAGGGCGTTGGGTCAGCGTCACAGAAGTCCCCTGTTCGTAGGAACCTGTGACCACTAGAGAGATAGGGGCTCGCACACACTCGCCATGCAGAGCCAGCACCTCTGGAGCCTGAACAGTGTTCCAGATTCATCCGCTGAAGTCCCGGACCTCAGACCGTGGCTGACTGCAGACAGGCTTCTCAACGAAACGGCTTGAGGGGCTGGGGAAATGGCTCAGCCAGTAAAGTACTCAGGGCCTGAGTTCAATCCCAGCAGCCCTATAAAATGCCAGTACATGTCGGTATGTGTCTGTGATCCCAACACTGGGAAGGCAGAGGCAGAAAAAACCCTTTGACTCACTGGCCAGCCAGCCTAGTCTACATGGCGAGTTCCAGTAAAGAGTACTTGTTCTTTCAGAGAACCTAAGTTTGGTTCCCAGGACCCACCTTGGGCTGTTCACAAACACATATCACTCCAGTTCCGGAAATCTGATGCCCTTTTCTGGCACCCGTACACACACATACATGAAAAAAGAAAAAGGAAATAAAACAAGTGGAGGACAACTGAGGAATGACAGCCAAGGTTGACCTCTGACCTCTACACATGTGCACCCACAGTAGCGAGTCCGGGTCTCAAAACGAAACAAATCAAAACAAACTGGAAAAAGCTGTCTTTTCTGGGCTAGCACCATCCCAAACACATCTTAGCACCTACAGTGTAGGATGCTGTTGGCCAGCCACCCCTGTGCAGTGCACAACACACCCATTGTTGGTAACAGCCTGACCTCTTGGACTCTTGCTCTAGATGACATAAGGCCCCTCTCTGAAACTGAACAGTGTGTGCATGCACACATGTGGCTCACAGTGCCTGACTGGGACCCAACGTCCTGCTACAACAAGGGGGTTAAGCCCCTCCCCAGGTGCTAGACGAGAGACGGCTCAGCATGCCTTCTGTATACCCTTTGCCCTTGCGGAACAACAGGAAGCTATTCATCAGCAGCGTGAGTCGAACAGACTCCCACCGGTGCCGGAGCCATGACCAGGGCCAGGTCTCCAGATCCTGGCTGCAGCCCATCCAGAGACCAGAGGCAGCACCACGCACCAATTACGGTAGCCAATTAATTTGCACTTAACGGGGATATTTTCTTTTACTGCACAGAACCGAAGGGCATAAAACACTGATTCCTCTTCTGGGGCTCGATCCTGCTCTCCACGCGGCCATATTATTTAATAACTCCTGCATACGCCCCAGGCCGCGTGGCAGGGGAGCCTCGTGGGCCATTTCCCATTAGCAGTCTGGTGCAGAGGCCACTCAGACTGCGCTGTTTACAGTTCTGCTTCCCTCACGGCTCCCAGAAGTTTCCATAAAACCAGATGTAAGGTAATCAAAGACTTCCCAGTCCCGAGCATCCCACTCCTAAAGGTTTCTGCGAGATCCTCCCGTTCTGGGGCTCCTGGCTCCAAAAGACTCTTAAACCACCCAAAAATCTATCCCCAGCAAGAGCAGCTCCTCAGACGCAGATACTGGGATCATTTGTTGGAAATATTTTACAGTCAATAATAGTAAAGTACCTTGGAGTTCCCTGGGCCCTTCTAATGATGCTCAGAGCCTGTGAGCAGGACCTCACAGTCTCAGTGGTTGCCAAGGAGGCGACTTGATCTTGTGCCCCGAGTGGAAAGAGTGGGCAGCTGGCAGAGAGCCAGCCCGAGTGCCATTCGCCCCTGAAGGCGCCAGGAATGTGGTCAACCTTTTCCATCACTCCTTCCCTCCGTCTTCTTCCAGGTGGGGGGACTGAGCCAGGGCATCAGAAACAGAGACGGAATTTTAGAGCTTTAGGCAATCCCACGTCGCTGAAGGGTTGGCCCTACTCAGGAAGTCCACAGCTGAGTCTGGGGCCCAGTGTGCAGGAAGGCCAGCACACTTAGGTGGACGCTGAGTTCAGGCCTCCTGGTCCATTTCTCTGCAGCTTTCCGTGTGGTCAGCCTGAGCTGGGTGGTGGAGGCCAAAGCATTATTTACTCGTGCTGGGGATAAACCCCAAGACCTTTGAACTTGCCAAACAAGCATTCCACTACTGACTGAGCCACATCTCAAACCCTCAATTTTTTTTTTAAAGATTTGTTTTACGAAGTCAGGTGGTAGTGGTGCACACCTTTAATCCCAGCACTCGGGAGGCAGAGGCAGGTGGTTTTCTGTGAGTTCAAGGCCACTCTGGTCTGTAGCAGCTACTTCCAACACAAGACTCCAAAGTTTCAGAGGAACCCTGGCTCGAAAAGCCAAAAAAGAAAAAAAAAATTGTTTTATGTGTAGGAATATTTTGCCTGAGTGCATGTATATGTACTTGTTCCTATTAGATTCCTTGGAACTGGAGTTACAGATGACTGGGAGCCACCACTGGGTGCTGGAAATTAAGCTCTGACCCTCTGCAAGAGCAATAATCGCTCTTAACCACTGAGCCTTCTCTCCAGTCCCGAGGCCTTAGGTTTTTGAGACAGGGTCTTCCTGTGTTGCCTCAGCTAGCCTAGAACTTGTTATATATCCCAGGGATCGCTACTGCAAACCATCAATGTCTCCCGATGCTTACAACTCACCCACTGATTCTTAAAAATGCAACAGTCCCGGCTTGGACACCGGACATCCCCTGAGTCCTCGCCTCTGACTTAGCAGATTTATCTGGCCTTCCCTCTCACTAGACATCAGGCTGCCTGGCTTCAGGTTGTGCCCAGCTGGAATGCAAAGTTTGACTGGCTACCCTGGCTGATTCTTTCCTCCTTTCCCTGAAGGCTGAGTCCTAAGGCACTTCCTGTGGGTTCTGCTTCCAACAGCCCTTCCTCCTCCTCTACTTTCTCTTCCAAAGTTTATTTCCAAAGGAAGGGACCTTCTGGTATTGTTATGTCATCTAAATGGGGAGGGGGCCTTATATAATACATGGTCAAAAGCACATGTCGGAGGTCCAGAGAGATGGCTGAGGGGTCAAGAGTGTATTTTGCCCTTGCAGGATTTGAGCTTGGTTCCCAGAACCCATGTCAGACAGCTCACAACGGCCTGGAACCACAGCTCAGGAAACGGGATACTTTCTCTGCTTCTGTGGGTGCCTGTACTCCCCTGCACATATCCGCACAGAGATACAAATACATACACATCATTAAAAGTAAAAAAAGAAGGGGCTGGAGAGATGGCTCAGTGGTTAAGAGCACTGGTTGTTCTTCCAAAGGTCATGAGTTTAATTCCCAGCAACCGCATGGTGGTTCACAACCAACTGTAATGAGATCTGGTGCCCTCTTCCTGCCTGCAGGCATGCATGCAGGCAGAACATACATAATAAATAAATTAGTCTTTTTTTTAAAAAAGTGAAAGTAAAAATAAATCTTTGGGGCTGGAGAGTTGGCCTAGTAGTTAATAGTACATACTGCTCTTGAAGAGGACCCTACTTTCAGTTGCTAGTACTCACATAACACAACTCAAAACTGCCCCTAACTCCAGCTCCGGGGAACCAGAAGCTTCTTCTGGACTCCAAGGGCACCTGCACTCATGTGCACACACCCGTACACAGACACACATATATACACAGGATTAAAAATAAAATAAGGTAGCTGGGTATGGTGGTACATGCCTTCAAGCAAAGGCAAGTGGATCATTGTTGAGTTCATGGCCAGCCTGGTCTCCACAGTGAGTTCCAGGATGGCCAGAGCTATATAGATAGACCCTGTCTCAAAATACGTATAAATAAAGCTCATATTGAGTTATGAATGAATGAATGAGTGGATGAACTAATGAAAGACTCAGTTTCTGGTGGCCTGTCCATGCGCGGCCTCCTGGCCACGTGCTCCTCATCCTCATAAAGCCCTCCCAGACCCCATTTATAGCACCATTATCATGAGTCCTTTGGTTTTTTTGTTTGAGAGGGGTTCACCTTGTAGCCCAGGCTAGCTTCAAATCATGATCCTTTCATTTCTGGCTCCCATTTGCTGAGATTACAAGCATGGGCCATCACCTCCAAACAATCAGGACTCCTCCCTATTGTCCCCCAAAGCTGAAGTTCCCATCCATGCTGGAATATTGCAGGTGGCCTGGGAGACTCAGGCAGTTACTTAAAGGATCCGGGGAGCTGGACAGGATGCTCTTCCAAGGAACGCAGGGGAGTTGAGTGCCCCCTTAGGGGGAAGACCAGCTTTCCTTACCAGAGGAGAATGACAATTTGAAGAAAATGCTGCTTCAAATTCCTGACATGGTGAGGGCGGAAATGGCTGTGCAAGAACCAGCCCCGGCTGGCTCGCTATTGTATATGCACCTGCTAACATTTTTAAAGCCGGGACTTTATAGAAAGGACATTTTGATCGCTTCTGAAGTTTGCCGAGCAATTCCCCTTTCTCTCTCGGGCACAGGGTTTTTGTGCTGAAAATTTCCCTTGTGGTTGCCTACAAGCTTCAGCAGCCGGGGCTGATGCTGGCGGGCACACACACAGCCGCGGCCCCGTTGGCAGGCTCTGCCTGGCTTGCAGGTGCCGAACTGTGGAAATGGAAGCTGGAGAATGAATAACAGCTCGCACCTGTGCTGAGCACGCATGCATGCCGGAGGAAGAGGATGCCACCCGTGGCGCCCGCCACAGTCTGAGATGCTGTTCAGAGAAGATGGCAGAGGAGGGGCAGGCATTCTCTCAGGTGGCCCTGGACCACCCTGGGTTGTGCAGGATTTCAGAGGGCCAGGGATGGTGGGACAGGCCTTGGTTTTGTGTTCCATGAGAATCTCTCGCTCATTCCAGGCCCCAGTTGGCAGCTGTCCACCCAGTCCTGCCCCCAGGCTTGCAGCCCGGAGCTGACAGGAACAGGTGGTGGGCAGCTTGCTTCATGCTGTCCATGCAGACAGGCAGCGCCACAAGGGGCTGAGGTCACAGCATGCCTGGAGCCTCTCTGGGGTATGGAGTCCTGAGAATCTGGGGCATTCCTCACTCCCTCTGATCAAGGCCTCACAGGACCCTTACTTCAGAGAGAGATCCTCCATGTGACACTCAGCCCTGGCCAGGCCTCTGCTTCTCAGGCCCCGAGTGGGAGTTGGTGGCTACAAGCAGTGGTACTAGGAAGGGTACCATCATGAAAGTGACAGTCACATCAGTGTACGACCCAGGAACACAGTGGCATGAGGAGGTGTCACCATCACAAAGCCCTCTCTGAGGGGACATTAGAGAATCCTAACACAGCAGGTGGGGGATCAAATGGTCAACATCTTCAATAGTAGCAGTGGAAAAAGTGAGGTGCGTGCCTACACTGAAGAAGCTACAGGAAGCTAACCCTCCTGAGAATGAGTGCCAGCAGAGGGCTGGGGAGACGTGGGTAAAGTACTTGTTACACAGACCCAAGGACCTGTGTTCGAATCCCCAGAGCTCACACAAAGTCAGGCGAGGAGCCAGGCATGGTGGCCACACCACACCACACAGGAGGGACAGGTGCTCTTCTGGGCAGCTCTGGGCCATGCTGGGTCTCAGACAGTCTCAGCCCCGTGTGAGCCACATCTGTAAGCACAGTACTTATAGGTTAAGGCAGAAGGATATCAAATTCCAACCTTCCCCTGGCGACACAGCAAGATTTTGTTTCAAAAGCAAAGCAAAACCAGAATTTACTAGGTCCTAATTTCCTAGGGACCGAAAGATGGCTCAGTCAGTGAAGGTACTTGCCAGCAAGACTAACAATGTCAGTTCCATCGCCAGGGCCAACATAGTGGAAGGAGAGAACTGACTGCTTCAAGTTGTCCTCCAACCTCCACACTGGCATTGCGGTGCAGACGTACACACACACACACACACACACACACACACACACACACACACACACAAAAAAAATACATACATAAATTAATTAATTAAAAAATTTTAACTACACAGTTGCACATACACAATAGGGCTTGTTTTAAAAATATTTTACTTTTGTGTTTAAATTTAATTGTGTGTGTGTGTGTTTACTGGGGACTATGTGCACATGCAGATGTCTCTAGAGAGGATATCAAACTCCCTGGAGCTGGAGTTACAGGTGGATGTGAGCTCTCCTTTGTGGATGCTGGGAACTGAACCTGGGCCCTCCACAAGAGCAGTGAATGCTTTTAACTGCTGAGCCATCTCTCTATCCATCAAGTTCCTATTTTTTGTTTCTTTGTTTTGTTCTGTTTTGTTTCTTGTTTGTTTTTCAAGAGACAGGGTTTCTCTGTATAATAGATCTGGCTGTCCTGGAACTCACTCTGTAGACCAGGCTGGTCTCAAACCCACAGAGATCCATCTGCCTCTGCCTCCCAAGTGCTGGGATTAAAGTTCTGTGCCACCACTGTTCAGCTTTAAATTTTTGTTGTTGTTGTTGTTTTATATTTTTATTTTTTTAAGATCCTATTTTCCAACCTTACAAAATTCCAAAATTCTTCTATTCTCATGATTTCTCTCTCTCTCTCTCTCTCTCTCTCTCTCTCTCTCTCTCTCTCTCACACACACACACACACACACACACACACACACACACACACACACGTGCACGCACTGGGAACTGCAACAGATCTTCCCAAAGGCAATCCCAATGTGTCAGGCAACCTGGGGAGAGCCCTGGGTCATTCACTGAGCTGTTCTTCACTGGACCCCTTTGCTGGGAGACACAGTGCTAGCCAGTGTCTGCTCCTGTGGGCTTGACAGTGTCATGGGTGTGGGGTTGACAGTGTCTGCTCCTGTGGGCTGACAGGGTCATTGGTGTGGGGCTGACAGTTTCATGGGTGTGGGGTTGACAGGGTCTGCTCCTGTGGAGCTGCCAGGGTCATGAGTGTGGACAAACTGAAAGAAAGACATCAGATAAGTGAAGAGGGTAAGGACTGCTATGCTAAGTGCCAGAAGGAATGGAACCTGTGATAAGCAGGCAAAAGGCAGCTGGAAGTCAGGGCAAGCTGCCTGGAGACGAATGCTCAAGTTCTGTGTTCCCCAGAGCAGGCACAGCCCACCCAAGACAAAATCTGCCAATACACTGACTGGGCACCATAGCTTGGTCTAGCACCACATGGGTGCAAAGAACCACCTTCACCCTCAAAATAACCAGGGAAGAAGAGAGCGAGCTGGGAAATAGGGCCAGCTCAGGGCAGCTACCAGCAGA